ACTACAAATATCTTGAACTACAATTTTAGAAATAAGTTCATGTCACTTATGCAAATAACAGGAAAATTTAATTAGCACCTCTAATTCCTTTTGTATTGCAAGCCAGGGACAGAAGGAGGTAATTACAGTCAATATTAGGTTTGTTTTATGTACACTTTACCTCTTGACTAGGTAATAGAGTTGAATACGTCCACACTCCCTGAATTTCTTAATTAAAAATTTTTTTAAATTTCATGAAGTGCATTTTAAAAATCCCTTACAAGTTTCATTTACAGATATTAACTTTAAAAGAGCTATTCCCTTTGGTATGTATGAGGATGAATTTTCTTAAAATATTAATAGCCCCTTTTCAAAACACATGACTCTTTGAACTTGCAAAGCATAATAATGGTTTCATTCTTAGATATTGAATCTTTTATGCCTTATAATTAAGCAGTAATCCTGTTCTTTTCGCGTTTTCTTACAAGAAGGATAGCAATACACTCTTCATTTGCAAGCAATGATGCATAGCTGACATTGGAATTCCAGTAATGCCTGTAATGAAATGAAGAAAAGTGGGGCTAGGTTTCCTATTAAAAGCATGGAGCCCATTAAATAAACCATTTGTGATGGCTGATGCCATTTGAAACAATCATGATAGCATGATTGATTAAGGGTGGCGGTTTTGAATCAAAGATGGGTTAGGTAGGTCATCTGCTCAATTGCTGAGTACAATTAGGAATTATATTGGTATCAAAACAAAACATTTAAATAATTAAATAAAACCAAGGAAAGTTTATCTGTACCTATAATATTGTAAGATTCTCATCTCTTTACCTCTTGAAGGGTAGAATGGTGTTTGTCTAATAAGGTAGAAAATAAAGAATAAAGCACAAAATGAAGTGCTTAGCTTTTTGAACAGAGTACATATTTAGTTATAGGCAGTGAAATCCTTAACAGAAGTTAATCATGGAAAATTCAATGATAGCATATTCCCTTGAACCTTAAGGGATTAGGAGATGATGCCTTCCCAGTAAGTACCACAAGTATCAAATTCCTTATTCTAAAACTAGTTTCTCATCTTTTTGGAATCATGAACTTCCCTTTGAATTTGGTGAAGTCTGTGGATTTCCCCAAAATTGATTTCATTGTGTTTAGAGACCCCTGAAGCTCATTTTGAGACTCTGAAAAGGTGTTTTTCAATCGTGAGTAATACACAGAACTGTTTTCAATAGAAATGAAACCCCCTGTATTGACATATTACATTTTATAATCTTAAATATGTGCAACATAAACCCTGATAGTAATTTCTTGTGCATCTACTCTCACTATAAAATAAAAACAGATTTATAAATTAAATCGTGTTACAAACTAGCAAAATTAAATCTAACAACACTAATGTGACAGACAATATTGAAACTAAATTGTCACTTGCAGTGTGAATATGGTACAGATAGGATAGTGTGAGTTTGAGTTCAAAGTGCTGTTAATGTCATATCCCATGTGAATATTCTTATACTTAGCTTGAACTACTTCATAGCCTCCATTTGTTCAGGATGCTGTCATGTAATTTCAAGATATAACGAATTTTGCTTCTGTTAGTCTTAGCCTGCAATGATTAAAGTAGCCTTGCTGTTTGATACCAAACAGTCAAGAACCCCGAAATCACAGGACAGTACTAAGTAGTAAGGTAGCATCCAGATGATCCAGACTTGGCCTCTATTAATTCTATTATAGATCGTCATGGAAATGAAGACACAAAATTTTTAAAACTACTTCCCATAAGAACTGTCAGGTTTCTAGAAGAAAATTTTTTGCATCAACAATGTTATTAAAAGTTGTCTAAGGGAGCCGGCCCAGTGGCTTAGTGGTTAAGTTCCCGTACTCCTCTTCTGGCGGCCCGGGGTTCACAGGTTTGGATCCCGGGTGCAGACCTACGCACACCACTTGTCAAGCCACGCTGTGGCAGGCATCCCACATAAAGTGGAGGAAGATGGGCACAGATGTTAGCCCAGGGCCAGTCTTCCTCAGCAAAAAAGAGGAGGATTGGCAACAGGTGTTAGCTCAGGGCTAATCTTCCTCAAAAAAAAAAAAGTTATCTAAGCTGTAAATGCGAAATTGAGATGTCATTGGTTAAATAAATGCAAAATAGCCACATTGAGTGCTCCTGTATGCTAGATATTATCCTAGGTTTCCGGACTATAACAAAAAAAAAATAAAACAAGATTCTTGATTATAAGACTTAATGATTCCTTAAGATTTTAGTGTGGGAGAGAAAGATAAGTGAACAAGTAATTTTAATATACACTTAGTGAAGGTGTTTTGATAGAAATAGTTGAGATAGGAGCCTCATTAATAGCTGCTTACCAAATGCATGCTGATTTGGGTAACCCTAGTGTGAGCTAGAGGAACCGTTTAGCTAAGCTGTTACTGCCTTTGTTATTTGGGGGGGGGGCGGGGCGCAAAACCATTTTTCAATTCTCTGTACTTGCTAGTCCCTTGCTATCTATGTCTAATTATAATTCCTTCTCATCTCACCTCCCCCATTTGTCATTTACTGTACTAGATACATCCATTAAAAAAAAAAATTCCTATGAGACTTTCATGAGTTCTCCAATTTGAGCAGAACATTTAAGCTTGGTATAAGCTTAAAAACAGAAAAAGACCAGGAGATGATTTGGGTAAATGGAAAACTGGTTTTCAGTGCAGTAATTACCTTGATAACGGCTCCTTTTTCTACAGCCTGGTGATGACAGTGTTGCAGCCTTTGGATAGTTGTTACTATTTCATATCTGAGCAACTGTTGTCTCTTTATATATGAATCCCATGCCCCAAATTTAGTGAACTTCTGTCAACTCCAGATAATTTGCAGTGCAGTTTTCTTTACTGTTGTGTGAAAATAGTGCCAGTATCTATCTTGAATTTTATTTAAATTTAATGTCATTATTAAATTTAGCCTAAAATTCAGACTTTTTTATTACCTGGCCTTGGCAGGTTTGAAGTTCTTTCTCATTTTCAAAGTTTCATAAGATTTCCAACTTAATGTATTATTTAGTTTTTCTTTGTAAGAAAGATGCCTTAAAGAGTTGCAAAAAGTAAGATTGCTTATCCCTTTATTTAATTTTAATAATTCCTGGCAGTTGTGATCTCAGGTATAAGGGACATATAAATATCAATTCAGTATATTTTAAACATCTTTAGAAGGGTAGTTATTAATATTTAGTTTTGAACAAGCTTCAATATTTAAATTTTTTTTTAAAAAGTGGTATCTGAAGTATTTAAGAGAAATTTTTATAAGCACCTTTAAGAGACCTGGTCATTAGATATTGAATAGCTTGATTTAGTTTTGTGTTCAAACTGAAATGATATTTTCCTCTGACTTAAGGACATACCTTCTAAAATGGGACAAGGCTGTAGATGTAATTATTCTTAACTTAAATGAGGTTTTTTTGTAATTTTTCTTGATACATTCATCTATAATTTAGTTGGGAATAATAATTATGACAGCTAACATTTAGAGTGTTTACTGTGTACCAGGTACTATGTTAAATATTAGATGTATTATTTCTTTTAATTCTGCCTTATGAGGTAATTATCAGTATTAACCTATTTTGCAGTTTAAAAAGTGAGGCTTAGAAAAGTTAAGCAACTTTGTCAGGGTCACATACCCGATCAAGTGAGACATGAAGGTGTCAGGTGTACCCTGGGGCAGTTGTACTACAGACTCAGCATGCCTGTCAGCACAGCACTGTTAACCTGGGGCTTCAGTGCCATAACCAGTCCATTCTGTGCCCATCATTGCTGTATATCTCCAACAGAGTGATCTAATGGTGGAATAGAGTTTACCAATAACAATAACAATGCTCAGAGAAAGAGGTAGAGTGAAGGGTATAGCTAACGTCTTAATGGATAAAGTCAATGTATAAAAATATTCTGCAAGGTGGCAAAAGTGTGCAAAAACTCAATACATATTCCTCAAGAAGGAAAGCTTTTGGCTGGTGCCTTTGAGGGGGGAAAAAAAAAAAGTCTAAGCTTCCCAAGCACATGATGGAGGATAGGCCACATAATCAAATCATAATGTATTACAAGACAAATAAGAGTGGGCAGGTTGCACTAGGGGGATATTGGATTGGCTTTTTAAATGAATTCATTCGTTCATTCAACAATGAGTGCCTACTGTGTGCCAGAAACTATTCAGAGGCTGGAGATACAGCAATACACAAAATAGGCGTAAATCCCTGCCTTGGTGGAGCTGAGATTGTAGGATCCATGGGGTTACTTTTTGTGTTAAAATGTATGCCTACTTTATACTTGCCTGTAAATCACAAAATACTTTATGAATTCTATGGTGAACCATTCTCTAACATAAGTGATCACGTTCTTATATATCTGGTCTATGAGTTTAGATGTCTGCTCTAGGATTTGTCTTCACAGGCACTGCAGCTGTGTTCAGCTCTTGGCAGATGTAAATTGCTGGCTTGGTTTCTTAGTTTGCAGCTGAGTGACACGGATTAGTGGGAAATGGTTCAAATGAAGCTAAAAATTTAGTTTGAAATTGGGAGTTTTTTGGGGCAGAGGGAGAAGAGTGATAAGTTAAAGAAAAGATTCATCTCAGGAATACTTAAGAGAAACGGTCTTCCACTATATGAAGGGCAGTTTGTTTAAACTTTAGCATGAAAAACTTGCTACAACATACTAATTTCTGTTAATATCTTAAAAAGTTGTCCAGGCTTTAGCTGTCTTTGATTCTGGAGATCTAAAAGTAGGATTTAAAATTTTAAATTATTATTACTGTGGGATGATTTTACACATATTTTCATCTGACTGAATGTGAGTCGAAACAAAAATATGCTCTGAAAGCTACTCCCAAGCCTGGGGTTAGAAAATCAAATAATGTAATAGACTTCATCATGAACTAGTATTCTTTATGAAGAGACACTGCTTTACCAATTGTATGACCTAACCCCTTCCCAGTTCTTTAAGATAATCTGGAAACAAATGAGTTTCTTATCAACATCCAGGCAAACTGTTCCACATAGACTTTGGATATATTTTGGGTCGGGATCCGAAGCCTCTTCCTCCTCCCATGAAGCTGAATAAAGAAATGGTGGAAGGAATGGGTGGCACCCAGAGTGAGCAGTACCAGGAGTTCCGGAAACAGTGTTACACAGCTTTTCTCCACCTTCGAAGGTAAGTTGATTTGCTTGACATGGAGAATTTTGGTAAATTCCTTTCATAGAGCAAGAAAAGGAGTTGCTAAATTTATATGTTGTTTAGCATCACTCTCCTTCAAAATGACACAGGCAACAATATTTCTTAGTGTACATTTGATGTCTATTTTGATTAACAGTCTGATATTAAAAGAAGAAGAATTTCTTGTTTTCCCACTAATTATCTGGTTGCTAAATCCCACCAAAAGGGAAGCTGGCATTACATAAGATTAGGCAAACATGAAGCCTTCAAAATCAGAGGGTTGAAATCATTTTAATAAAATATACTCTGTGTTCTTTGACAGTGCTGGGATAGAGAAAAGGTTAAGAAGCTTCCTACTACTCAGATCCTCCCTTGAAGGATTATAATCACCACGTTGGGTTTTTTTCCTTCTCCCTAGCTGACTTCCCACTTCTTTATCAAAGAGTGAAGCGTTTAGCTTATTTAGAGTGATATTAATCCAATCATTTTTATTCTTTAGCACGTTTATCAACCTTAGTTTTGGTTGCTGTTCAGGTGCATTCAGAAGTTTGTTAAATGATTGAAGAATAAACGTTACATATGATTTTGTCTCTCTTTAGCACCTCATCCATCATTCTGCTAAAAAAAGTGTTGATTTTTCTCTATCCTTTCTGTTTTCTCCAATGCCACTCTATCTCTGCTTCCTTCATCCTAATTTACTTAGGACTGAACATCATATATCATCAGGAAAAAAATAAATCAAAAGTCATGTTTGTTAAATTCATGACACAACTCTGATGCTTAGTCAAAAATGGCAGGATCATTTGACTCTAAATCTGTTTTCAACCTAACCGTGAAAAATGAATATTCTTAGTCCAGCAGAAAAGCCCAGCTCAGGAGACATACCTGTGTGCTCTTCCAGGTGACAACATAACCGATAGACAGTGAGTTGCCTAGGCATGTGCGCTCTGTCTTGTCTGTTTTGTAACCTCAGTTAATCATAAGTGGTTAGAACATAGACACTCAATATATGTATGTTGAACCTTCAGTATTTTTATGAAAACCCCCAGAATTTCTGCTTCACATGTAGGATGAAGCCATAATCCCAGGTGATGTTAATGTTACTGGTCCCGGGAGAATGGCCGTCATATATTAATCGGGTTTCATCTTTGCAGTGACTCAAGAGGCCTTCATTGTTAACTCGGTCTCTACCATGTGTCATAAACTGTAACGTGCATTTTACAAACAGCCACGTTGTTTACCCTTTGGCTAGCAGAATGACTCAGTTTTACTTTCCAGAAATGCTAAAGGAATACTGAGAACATCAGTGCTCTTTTGATTTGCCTGGTGATGCAGAAGCACTTCCAGAGAGATGAGAGTTCCGCTTTAATATCTGGGATTTTTAATTTAAAATAGTCAAAGCCTATGGAAAACTAAATGGAACCATGGTGATCTCAGTGAGGAGGCAGACAAGATGATATGAAATGATAACTAGAGAAATGTCAATGGTGCTCTATCTTACTGAAAGCAGAAGGAAAACAGTGTGCTTTATAAACTGTCATTGATAATGGATTAGTAGCAATTCAGTAGAATGAGAAAACAGAGGCAAGTTATTAATGTGGAGCCAAAGTTAACTTTCCTCACTCCTAAGAAAAATCAGAAACAGATTAATCTATATAATTTTATATTGAGTCTTGATGAAGATTGTTTTATTTTTTATTTTTATTTATTTATTTATTTTGGTGAGGAAGATTTGCCCTGAGCTAACATCTGTTGGCAATCTTCCTCTTTTTTTGCTTGAGGAAGATTAGCCCTGAGCTAACATCTGTGCCAGTCTTCCTCTATTTTGTATGTGGGATGCCTCCACAGCAGGGCTGATGAGTAGGTCCGCACCTGGAAGCCGAACCTGTGAACCCGGGCTGCCGAAGCGGAGCGCGTGGAACTTTAACCACTCGGCCATGGGGCTGGCCCCCCTTTTATTTTTTAAAATTGCACTGTACTTCACTTAACATTAGTTGGACCCTAATATTTTGATCAACATTTATTTTTTAATGTTGCATTTTAGAATATGGTTCAGTTAGTAAAATTCCCTGTAGGACACAACAGTTAACTGATAGTCAAAAACTTGTTTCAAGCTAAGGTTATTTGACACATTTATTATTAAGGTTTATTATTAAGGTAGGTATGACCAGCCATCTTCTTTTCATGGTTATTGTTGATTTCTGATCAATTTCTGCAACAAAAAGCCGTTGAATAAGAGTGGACCACATAAACAGAGCAGTCCCTTTGGAACTCAGTTATGAATGGTTACAGTTGTGCAGATGTCAGAACGTTCACATTTTATGGTGGTGTGATTTTCCTGTAACAAAACATAGTATCGTCTCTTTTATTAATTGATACCTATTACACCAGTAAGTAATTGGTAAATTTATTTTTTGGATACTCTGTCATGGCAACAGTAGCAATGGTAAAACATTTTAAATCTTAATATTCAAGGAAAACATAATTCCTTCTCTTAATCCATGTTTATGCCAAACACCTTGCTCTAGACACTGATGATACAAAGATGGCCTAAATTTTTCAATAAAAATACTGAAATTAGGAATGCATTTAACTGTATCAAGCAAAGTTCTTACCTTGTGTCAGAGGATGTTTGCCGAGTCACCCAATAGCAGTGAATTTATTGATCACACTACTTTTTATCATTAACTTCATTGTTTTGCCTCCTTAAAGTAGTACACTTATTAAATAAACCTTTTTTTTTAGGATTATACTCTAATCATTGTTGCATGCAAAATAGATAGATTGCAGGGGAAATAGATCTCTGAAACACTGTAAGAACCTCACTTGATGTAGTTAAATGCATCTCTATTTTTAGTATTAAAGGTTTTTACTGAAAAATTTAGACGATCTTTGTGTAACCAGTGGGTAGCAGAGTGGTTGGCATAAACATGGGTAGAGAAAGAGCACGTTTTCCTAGAACACTGTACTCAACCCACTCCTTTTACAAAATCTAAATTATATCATATCCATCCTTACATCTTTGTCTAAACTTGGTTTTGCACACTTTTCCTACCTTATCGTTATTTTTTTAACCTTAACCTTATCTTCTCTTTTGATAATGGTTTTAAAGATTTCTAGTAACCTTTAAATCTGTTTTTCTGAGTAGGATATTGAATGACTAATATACTTTGTGTTTTGGGTTGCTTGTTCTGTGGAAAATGGCAACAGATGTAAAGATTAATACAGTTAAAGTTGGGACAGATTAGCCACAAAGTAATTGGATGTTTAAGATTCTTATAGAATATTCCATTTTATATTTATTTACATTGTGTTTCCCTTTGCTATAATAATAGAAGCATGAATGGTTAAATTTAAACCAGCAGATAATCCAGAAAGCATCAATATTAGCCTTTTAAGAAAGAAACACACATTATGCGTCCATAAAGGCAGACATTTTAACATAGTTCCTGGCTGCCCATTAGAATCACCTGGGGAACTTTGGTGGGGGCAGTTCTGAGCCCCATCAGATTTACTTGGTCTGGTGAATCTCCCCAGGTGAATCTAATGGGCAGCCAGGTTTGAGAACCTCTGAAATATCCCTTTGAAGATTGAGCCTTATATTTCCCTCCCTGTGTTACCCTGTGAACTACCCTGTGGTATATTCCTGAGATTCCTCTATGACAAAATTGAGAGAAACTGTATAATCAACAAAGCAGAGTATGAATAATTGAGCGTTCATTGAAGGAGCATATTTTTTTCATAACATAATACATAGGAGCTGGCTGTACTCAGCTGAGACTACAGTCCTTGCAGCCCTCTCATGTGGATCATCTTCTTTATTTCCATATCTTACATACCATAGAGTTTACAGAAGGGCTTGGTGCCTCTCTTGCTCCCTATTACCACTTCCAAACCATTTCTTTCCTTGCCTTCTTAAAGAACAAAAGCATAGACACACACACCATGAGATCATACCATCATCTGCCTACCACCCCATCACTCTCATTCATTGGAAACTTTCATTTTCTTCGTCTTCATGACTACTGCTGTGACTTCAACATCCACATGAATGGTCCCGCCATGACCTGGCCTCTCAGGACCATGTCCTCCTCATCTAGAGCCAGCCTTGGCCACTCCTTCTCATCAATACCAGTAAATTTACCCCTCCAAAATCTCTATCCCAAGCTTCTGCTCTCTGACCAACACTTATCCTTACAGCTCGTTTTGGATGTGCCCTGTTCCTACAAGTCTTCAACCTCATTGGTGCTTCTAGTCTCATCATCCTACCACTACATATAATCTACCTCATATTCTCACTTTTCTCCTTTCCCCACTGAATTTTATGGCCCTAAACTGTAATCACTCTTACTGCCCCTCCCTCTAAACTTGCTCTTATGCATTTTTATCCAGTCCTGTAACCTCCCCTGCTGAAACTCCAACTCTAATCAGAACTGTCTGTCTGCCTATTTCATGTGTATAGTTCAACAGCTGTATGTTACTGATGAAAATCCAACAATGATGGTTTTAAATCAGTCGTTCTCAGCTGAGAGCTATTTTGCACTCCCTCTCCCCCCAAAGCACATTTGGCAATGTCTAGAGACAATTTTGGTTGTCATAACTGGGCAAGTGCCACTGGCATCTAGTGGGGAGAGGTCAGGGATATTGCTAAACATTGTACTGCTACCCTATTTCTTGACTCTCCTTCACAGCACATCTACTTTAAGAAGTTCTCTTCTCCCTGTCGCCACTTACTTGCTTCCTCTTCCTCCTTCAGCCTTCTCCAGTAACGCTTCCAGTACTACTCTGCTATTGAAATTAATTTTATCAAGATAAACAGTCACCTGTACCAAATCCAGTGGCTACTTTTTCTTCTTAGCAGCTTTGACACGGCTGACCACGTCTTCGTTCCTAAAAACCTTTCTTAGATTTGGTGTAACCCACAACCCTGTTTTGTTGTTGCGTTACTGGCCACTCCTGCTTCTTTGCTGATTTCTTCCCTCTTCTGTGTGACCTTCGCATATTGAACTATCTAGAAGTTCCATTATTAGTATAAAGGATTTAGTTTTGCATCTGTTTTCCCCTAAATTCTCTCCTTCGGCATTTTCATCCAGACCTGTGACTTTAAATAGCATCCAAATGCTGATGGCTTCAAACTAATTCCATCAGCCCTGATATCCCCTCTGAGATATATCTAACTACCTATTCAACATCTCAACTAAGAATCTAGTGAGCATCTCAAACTCAGTGTGTCTAAAGTGGAATTCTTGATTCCCTGCCCCAAATCCTGTTTCTCTTTCATTCACTCTTTCTTATTTTGATAAATTACCATAGTTCCCCATTACTTAGGGTAAATTGTTGGTGATATTCAGTTCCTCTTTCCTCTCTCCCTCACTCCATTGAAACCATCAGCAAGAGTCATCTACTCCATCTTCAAAATATAGTCTGATAACCTCCATATTGTTTCTTTTTCACCTGGACATCTGTGAAATAGTTTCCCTACCTCCATTCTTATTCCCCACAAGATGGCCAGTGTAAGCTTTGAAAAATGCATATCTAAGTGTGTCACTCCACTCTTTAAACTCAGTTGCTTCCCAGTGCACTTAGAATAAAGTCATACCTCCTTAAGATGACTCCTCTCTGCACCCCATCAGTCTTTGACCCATCTCCCTGTTTTTTCATTATTTTTTAAAGCTTTATCAGTCAACCAGGTATGAAATTATCTGCTTTATTAGTTTATTGTGTGAGTTCCCACCCTCTTCCAGAATGTAAGCTTCATGAGTGTAGGGACCTTGTTTGTTCAGTTCAACTCTATATCCTCAGTGCCTAGAACAGTGTATAAAGTGAGCACTCAGTAAATATTTGTGGGTTGAATGAATAAAATTATTATATGAGTAAAAGTGGAATGACATCTGTGATGTGCTTTTTATCAATTCCCACAAAGAAATCAGTAACTTGAAGCTAGGTTAAAGCTGTTTAGCTATGATCATATGTTTTTTTTTAAGCATATAAGTGAGTTAGGGCCTAACCTGATTTGAAGACTATGTCAAGGTGGAAGTTGTCATTATGGGCCCTCTTGATCTTCATGGGCAGTATAAAATACAAAAATAATGATAAAATAGGTAATTTGAGGTTCATATGGATAGTCATTTTTGTCTACAAGTTCTATTATCATTATAGTTCAAGCATGAAATAGTTTTTATGTAACAGGTTGTGCCTTTTTATATTTGGAAGGGTAGATGGCTGGAATAAAGATTCTGCACCACCTAAACCCTGACCTCTACTCCCCGAGAAGAAAATGCAAGGCCCTTGTGTTGACACTTTTACTGAGAGCAGCTAAAAACCTTCCTTGCCTAAAACCAAAGTTTCCTTTACTCACATCCATCCTCAAAGTCAAACCTGAATCTCCTTTTATCACTACAGTGCTAAGGGGCCCCCAGAGCATAACTTCCAAGGGGAGAGTGTTCTGGAGCAGGAGGTGGTTTTGCCCAGTGTACACTTATTTACACCTTTCCCCATAAGCCTCCATCTCTGGAAATGAGCGTCTGGAATAGGAACATTCTCCTTGTTTGGAGGAAGAGGGAGAGTTTCAGGATTGGTGAGGATGAACCTTCAGTTTCTATAGGGGCCAGCTTACTCCAAAGTTAATATTATGTAGATATCTTGCCTGTTTTTAATGCAGTAGAGTACTAGCTGTTTTTTCCTTCATTTAGGATTACTTATATCCAGACCAGTCACTGTAGTTCCTGAAATGGTGATTAGTATCCCGGGAGGATACTCGTGAATGACTAGTGGGATGATAGTATTTCCCTTTCATTCATTTAGCCATCACATACTGAGGTAGTCTTAAAATAGCAGATCTTGTCATCATTTAGCAAAGGTAGATCTTCATCACTTAGTAAAATGCTAATTAGATATAAAGTGGATTCTCCTTAGACCTCTTCTAAAAAGAATATTCATACTAAAGAATGAAAAGAATATCATTATTAGATCGTTACTCCAAAAATTTGTTCCATAGTGTGGGACCTAAAAATGGCATTATATCAACGCCCCAGAATAAGATATTTTCAAGCCTTGCTTTTCATTGAGACAGGGAGACAGTGATGAATAGTTGCACATTCTGTTTTTCATAGGAGTAATAGTAATCATTATAAAGATCCGAGTACCACTGCTTCTAGGAGTGTTCTTGCCATGAGAAAGAGCTACAAAATTCTAACACATTGCTATTTTTTTTTTCTTTCCCACTCTCCTTTAGGTATTCTAATCTGATTTTGAACTTGTTTTCCTTGATGGTAGATGCCAACATTCCAGATATTGCTCTTGAACCAGATAAAACTGTGAAAAAGGTAATTTTTATACATCCTTAGATACCACAGTCTACTTTGCATATATAAAAGACGTTAGAGTTTTAACAACCCATTTCCCCTTGTCATCCCGGCCCCAAGACTCTTAAGTAACGTAAATTAAGAAAGAGATCTTGGGCCGGCACTGTGGCACAGTGATTAAGTGCGCGCACTCCACTGCTGGCGGCCTGGGTTCAGATCCCAGGTGTGCACCGATGCACCGCTTGTCAGGCCATGCTGTGGAGGCATCCCACATAAAGTGGAGGAAGACTGGCACGGATGTTAGCTCAGGGCCAGTCTTCCTCAGCAAAAAAGGAGGATTGGCATGGATGTTAGCTCAGGGCTGATCTTCCTCACAAAAAAAAAAAAAAGAGAGATCTTGTATGTCATTTTTTTTCACATTCCAGAATACAACAGCCTCTCAAGTCCTCTGCAGCCAGTTCGCTCCCCTTTCCTGTTCATACCCGCATTCACATGAATTCGCTTTATTTAGAGAGAAAGCTTACTACACAGCCCTTGCTCTTTGTCCTGAAAAGTTTAGCTCTTCTCTAATATTCCTAAAAGAATATGTGATTCCTGGCACTCCCAGGGTAAGTATGCTAAGGATCAAAAACAAAATATCGTAGTAGCATATAGAAGAAAACAGGCATTCTGTATCCTTCCTGTCCACACCCTTCTTACAGGGGTTTCTTTCTGTGTCGGGAAAGTAGAGACCTGCTTTTTAAACTCAGTCTGCAAAGACAAGAACAAGGGACAGTCGTCATGTGGGTGAACAGTGATTCAGAACTATCTTACCTTGAGTTACAGCAAGAGATGAGAGAAAGGGTAACAGATTTGAAGATTTTTGTCCAAATTAATTTGACTCTCTGATTCATTGAGGGGGAGGGGAGTATATGTAAAGCACTTTATTCCCCCAAAGATAACATAAGATGATCTTAAATATCAATGTGATTGTAAATATTCAACTTGAAAGAAAGATAATATAGCTTTTTAATTTGTAGAAGTATAAAATTACTGAAAGGCAGTAGCAGTCTCAGAGATAAGATCGCTCTGGGTGGTTGAAAATAATTGACACCAAAAGCCCTAAGTTCTGATGTAACTGACTCTGAACATTATTAGAAGATCTCTCTGTTGATTGAACATTGTCCTGCTCCATTTGGGCTGCTATAACAACATATCAGAGACTAGGTTGCTTACAAACAACAGAAATTTATTTCTCATGGTTCTGGAGGCTGGAAGTCCAAGACTGGGGTGCCAGCATGATAGGTGAGAGCGCTCTTCAGGTCAGACACTTCTTGTTATATCTTCATATGGTGGAAGGGGCTAGAGAGCTGTTTGGGGTCACTTTTATAAGAGCACTAATCCCAGTCATGAGGGCTCCACCCTCATGACCTAAGCACCTCCCAAGGGTTGATTGAACATTGTCCTGCTCCATTTGGGCTGCTATAACAACATATCAGAGACTAGGTTGCTTACAAACAACAGAAATTTATTTCTCATGGTTCTGGAGGCTGGAAGTCCAAGACTGGGGTGCCAGCATGATAGGTGAGAGCGCTCTTCAGGTCAGACACTTCTTGTTATATCTTCATATGGTGGAAGGGGCTAGAGAGCTGTTTGGGGTCACTTTTATAAGAGCACTAATCCCAGTCATGAGGGCTCCACCCTCATGACCTAAGCACCTCCCAAGGGCTCCACTTCCTAATACCATCACATTGGGCATTAGTATTTCAACATGGATTTTGGGAGGACACAAATATTCAGACCACTGCAAACATGAATGAGGCTAATCTCTTTTACCTAAATTTATAAGTCTTTGACAAGCAGTGAGAGGGAGTTAATGTAAATATTTTATTGTCTAACCATTTAAGAAAATTAGGCTCTTAGGATTTCACTTATTATTTTATCCACAAGCACTGTTTCAACAAAAATCTTCCCCCACCACCCATAGGAAATAGACTACTTATCACACTAGTTTTTGGCATGGCTTATTTTTTGTCATTTTATTTATTTATTTTATTGACTAAAGCTCATCCATCAAGAAATATAATTGGTTGATGAAAATTTCTTTAGCTGTAATTGATGGCTGCACCAGATTTCAAATGTTGTTGCCTTTTTTTTTTTTTTTTTTTCGCATTGCTGTATTCAGGGTCTGTTTTGCTTTTTATTTTAAACCCATTTACCTCTGTCCTCTGTTCACTCTTCCCTAACTTCACTTGTGCTCAGAAGTCATTTATGAAAGTTCTGACAGCATTTGTCAAATGGAGTCTCCCAATGTCTTCTGCCAATTAAATTATGTTGCTCTTGTTCTTATTAGATCTTTTGTTCCAACTCTGTTTCTCCTTTAGAAAATCATGATTTTATTGTTTAAGAATGTCCTTTTGTTACCATCTATCTTTATGGCACTGTCTTTTAAAATACAAAGCAATTCATTTATGAAGGAAAAAAAAGCATGTACATTAGTCATTTTTCTTTAGACTAGTACTCCCTAGCTGTTTATTCTAGTTTCAATTAAGTGAACTTTGAAAAAAAGGAATTTTACCATGTTTTTGCCCAAAAGGGTATTTCATAAAAGGTTTCTTTGCTTTCTGCTGTTTTATCAAGAATGGGAAGTAGCCAGTTGCAACATAAACTTGACATTAAAATCATAATAATATTGGAAAGTTATGCTGGAATAGGCTAAAATTTGTGTTTCACATTGCTTGGCTTTTTTAAGAAGTAGAAATAGGTTTTTATACTCAGACGAAATAATGATTGCTGGCATTACTTCAAAGTCTTACTACTTGGAAAATTTTTTTATCGGCCTTATGAATGGAAGCCAGCTAGAGAAACCGAGTAGAACATTTGAGGCTGAAGTCTTCACAGAAGTACAGATTATCCAAAGTGCAGCAATATTTTCCTGTCTCTATAACTTATTTTAGTATATGTCAATTTCATTTTAATTTTTTTGAAACTGATTACTTATATATGAAATACATGACGTTTTTGTTAATCAGATTTGCTTAATTCTTAGAAAACACAGTTGCCCAAAAATGTGAGATGGGGTCACAATTTAAAACATATAATCATTAATCACAAACATCAGTTGAATACCTGGTATTAGTAGGTTACTGTGGTACTTGTTGCTTGGTGCTATAAGAAGCTTGATCAAACTGTTTTAATTCTTTGATAATTTAGAGCAAGACTATCCAAGCAGCCTAATAAAAATAATACATATTGATAAAAGCAAAGTGTTATGGTGCTAATATAATTAAAGCATAGCGAAAAGACTAATTTCTAACAATGTGCAAACAGATCGTATTAGTTTTTTTCTTAATAAATTTTTATATGAAATATTTAAATCATAAAAAATATGGATGCTTATGTAACAAACACCCATTAACCACCACTCGTATTTAATAAATGTTAACATTTTGCCCTATTTGCTTTAAGTCCTCTTTTATTAATGAATCAAAATACTACAGTTAGTGTTGAATTGCACTCATCTGCATTCCTCTGTTCTAAGGGTAATCTTCTCCTGCAGTTTGAGTATATCCTTCCCATGAATATTTTTTATACTTCATTCATTCACTCAACAATATTCATTGAGCTATTTACTGTGTATCAATCACTATCTCATTGTTTGAGTTGTAGTAATAAACAATACAAAATTTCCTGCACTCGTGGAGCTTTAAGATAAAGTAAGTAGTGTAAAATATACGGCATATTAATAGTGATCAGTATGATACAGAAAAAAAAAAAAAAGTAAGAGGGAAATGAAATGTTGGGTTGATAGTGGTGTTGGCAATTTTGGATTTGGTGACCAGGAAAGGCCTCACCGAGGTGTGTGTGAGCTGTTGTTGAATAAATTAAAAAGATATTTTATAAACCTGCGGTATAGAAATAAGACTTCTTACTCAACTTCTGTAGAATGCACTAGTGAATGAACGAAAGGTAAAATATTTGAGATAAAAAGTATATGTATTCTCCAGGAAATCATTAACTTTGCTACTAGGGAGAGTGTGTTGGAAGAAAACAATTGTCTAACTTCAAGGAGTTTTAAATCTTCGTAGCCTTTGGAAACACGCGAATCTCTATTCAGAAAATAAGTAAAGAGAAGGTAGAACTAGTAATGGATAAACTTGTCCACTTGACACTCAGTGCTTTTTCATTTGTGTTTTCCTTTAAATCAGTGTAATAAAAAAGAGACCTTTTAAACCGTGGTAACAAGTTTGTTCAAAGTAATTTAATGAGATAATACTGTTTTGTGTTGAAGACGGATGTATTCCTCCTCTAAAATGATTTTTTACTAAACTTCAAAACAAGGAAATTATATATAGTACAAGCAGCTACAAATTATCTGAAGATCTATTTCAAATGACTTTTAAAATTAAATTGCCTTTGGTGCCTATAAGATTAATAAAGATACAAGCTGTAATATCTACTCTCATGGAAATTTGACCATGTAGATTTTTTTTCTTAAATAGTATTCATGAGTCTTATTACAAACAATTATTTACAACATTGATTCTCTTTTATCAGTAGTTGGCTGGGAGTTCAGTTTTCATCATTTTTCTTTTTAATTACTCTTTATTTTAAATTCTGGTTTTTATTCAAATAAGAGATTTTTAATTCTGTTGCAACTCAAGTAATCAAATTAACTCAGCAAGAAAATAATATTTATAGATTAAAACTCTTCCTTGCACCCCGATGAATGAAAATTATTCCTTTGTTATAATTACTTTTGTGCTTAAATTATTAATAAAAGAGTACAAGGAAAAACATTTTTTTATAATTCTAATGCTTTGAGGAAGAAGAATTTAATAGGGGATGTCTGCTTTTATTATTTTAATAAAAGTTACTATTATTTCAGAGATGCTAAACACTAAATTATGTTAAGCAAAAGCCTTCTTTCTATGTTAAATTTGTCTTGTAATGGTTGTATTTTTATTAGCTCCCCTAACCTTTCCCAGAGTTTGGTCTGACCTCGGAGTAGAGTAACAGATCACAGGAGGAATGAGGTTTCT